AGCCGTGACACGTTCTGGCTGGGGAGATAGTCTAATTCACTTTGTTTAATTAGTCAAAAGTAGTAGAGCATTGGCTGCTCCCTCTCCCTAATCATGCACTTTTAGGAGTTTCAGCATCTGCACATCTGTGGCAAAACAGACCAGTAATCACACCTGCTGGAAGTTTCGGGGGCAAGATTTCAACTCTTATCCGTTACAACAAAGGGACACTTCTACCATCATTTATCTTCCATCCATATCTTCACTGTGAATCCTTTGGATCATCTACAGATCACGTTTTTAATTGGAAAGTGCCTCCAATCCATAATGAGCCACAGTGGGCATGCTGGCTAATGAGTGACTGAAGCTTAGTGCTTTCTGCAGAGTGGAAGAAGAAAAGGAGGAAGCATTGCCTGTCCAATTTATTTAATCTTTATAAGGTAGGATTTAGCAAAACAACATCTAAAAGATCTTTTTATGTGACCTATGCTGTTCTAATATTTTCTAAGTTGCTATTTAGATGTATCTGAATTTCCAAACAAGTATGTTTTTAAACTTTGGTGCACAGAAATTAAGAATGAACACAATATTTTAAATCTATATTCTGAAAAATACATTTCAGGAAAACAAAATTTCAAACATTCAGCCAATCTTAGGATTTTAAACCTTGAATTTAAAATACTTTCTTTCCATAGTAGCATCTGTCATATACCGCTCTATGGAAATAAATGTAATTTATATAATTTTATCCTTGGTACATTAGCAAGTCAGATTTTTTTGGGTACTCATTCTGATCTTTTGTAGAGTTAAAATTTCACATTTTATATCAGATATTTTAGTTACATTTCTATGACATATCTTATGACCAGAATAGATTTTCAGCTGTATTTCCATGCCCATTCATTGAAAAGCGCGCGCCCCCTTGTTTTTTGAACCGTATTCTCACTCTAACAAAATTAGACTAAACAGCACAGATGGGTAATGAAGCTGAAGTGGTTCTCTGGCTGAGCTGTTGATTAAGTTCATAAAACTTAGAATCGAGTCAGACTCCACTCAAAATTTGATTTCTTTATACTCCACTGATGATTTCATTAAAGAATTTGGGCTTGGCTTCAACTTCCACAAAACTGACTCATTCTGATTTGAACCCCACTTGATGTGAGGTCAAATATATGATGTTTTCTGCCTGTTGTCAATCACTTATGCTGCATCTAAGGTGCTGTTTGCCTGCTTTTCTTCTGCATCCTACGATGAAAGCAAGGAGTCCAAAGGTGGTAGAGAAGTCTTAATATCCTGTTGAAAGTTGGAAAGATAAACAAAAATTCTCCTCACCCAAAAAACATGCAGGAGTCAGAATAGTTTTGAACAAAACTTTGATTAGGATTTTAATCCAAAAAAAGAGCCTCAAACCGGTTCTTAAATATAACCTGAAGTTCATGCATGACATTACATATGGGATGCAAGAGCTGCCACGAAAGTCTGGCTATTGTGTTCGGTGATGGGCAAATGCAATAATTTAAGACAAGAGTGCCACTCTTTTAAAGTTCAAATGGTAATTGTTTAATTCTTAAATAATTTTTTTCATTATTTTTACTTTCCAGTTTTTAACATATGTCCAAAATGCGATGTTTTAGTTAACACTTAGATTTAAAGTGTTATGCTAAAAAAATGTTTATTCATTTATTTTTCCATACACAAATTTGTAAGATACATGATGAAACAGACGCATGGCATAAGATTCATGTTTCGATGAAATATATTTTTATTTATATGATCTGCTGTATTTTGCTGATAGTTATGGTTTTATTGAATTACCGAAATCCCCACATCGACAGGCAGGTTCACACAGCGAGATTTTAAAATAGTTGTGTGATTTTGAAAAACTTTAAAGACCCCAAACATGGAAATAAAATCCGGGGGACAGAACAGTTGTAGCTATACAGTGTGCTGTTTTTAGCCACTTGACAAGCACAGCACAGCTACACAAGAGCTCACTATGATGCTTTTGACGTGCATCAAGCAGTGTATACAGACCCATCTGATGAGTAAGGATTATTATCCTGGCTTTAGATGGTACGTTGTTGAGGTTATCCCCAGCCATATCTCCCTTAAGTTGCCCAATCAACCTGGAATTTCCTGCTGCTGTTAGTAGTGGCTGAATATTTTTTTGCTGAACATTTTTGACAGTCTAAGTGAACGTAGGTATTTATCATAAAAATGTAAGAAACATTTTAGTGAGGTAATCATAGAGTTCTTGGATGCAGTGACTGCAGCTCCAGAATCAGCTGATTGGTTGATGTGCGCATTGAGCTGCAAGAGTTCCGATTTTCTCCAGCCTCCAGCCTTTGATTTGAATGCAATACAGGATATCGGGTCAAGAAAAATAAATATGTTGGATTTCCAAGAGTGCAGTGTCTCAGAAAGGTGAAAATCAGGCCAGAAATCAGGATGATTGTCCTGCTTAAGACAGCTTAGACCAATTCTATTAAATTTAGTGTGCTTAAATTTGATAAAAATTACTGGAAATTAGAGAGGCAGCCACATCAATCCTTCCTTTAAAAAACTTATATAAAGATAGATGATTTAAAGGAACAAACTTATGCTTAACAATCAAGTATTTGTAATTCAACCATGAAAGTGGTAATGTCACAAGTTGTAATGGGCACACAGCCAAGTCGTTTTGTTTTGATTAAACCATGAGCAAGAGCATCCAAGCAGGCAGATAGCATCAAAATCATGTCTTATAAAATCAACTTGTTCACCAAATAAACATTGTACAGTTTTTTTTGTTTGTTTTTAATGATTCTTGTTATTTTAATGATTTGAAACCCTTTTATCTTATACATATGATATTGAAAAACACAGGTTGTGCTGTTGTATCTGTTAACACAAAAACTAACCATCTCTTGATCCCATTGCAGACAGATGCAGCAAGCAGCAATGTGAATTTTATTTCATTATTTAATCAAAAATAATCCTAGCAGGCATGCAGCAGACTGCAGACCCAGAGATGATTTGTATCAAACTCAAATTGGCTGAGGAGGACCATTTTAGATTTAAATCATTGTAGAGGGCTCTCTATATAATATTCAACCTGCACTGAATGTTAGTGATTACATTAATAACAGGATTACATTTTTCGACAGTGATGGGTCCTGCTTTCACTAAAAATAAATAAAGTCGTCGATAGACTTTCAAATTGGAATGTTTGTTGCAACTTGGCCTTTGTTAAGTAATTTAAGTAGAATATAATTTTTTGAGGAATATTAGTCATTTACACGTTTGAATCAGCCTTATTTATATGGTTTGGGAAATGAATGAGTGGTGATCTATTTGGGAAGACCCTTAAGCCTAAGAACATTATAGATTGGAGTTGTAGATAGTAGTGCACCAGAGGGATTCTGGTTGAGAGAAATAAGTTCACAAAAAATCTATATTTATAATGGTTAGGTATCTTTTCCCCATTTGTATGGAATAAAGTCATTATGGCCTCTTTGGGCAATAATAAATTAAATTGAATTGTCTGAGAAAGCAAGAAATTAGGAAAAACTCCCTCAGGTTTAGCTTTTTTTTTACTTTATGGACAATTTGTTCAAGTTAGGACAAAATCCCTGTTATCTATCTTGAGGGATAATCACAGGAGTGATAAAGAACCTTGGATATGAGTACCAAGTGCAGGCTTTGTGTACAGATTTGAGCTGTTACATTAAGTCAGCTAAGAGAAACTTTTCAAAAGGTCTAGATGAAGGGATTCCCTGGTATGGTCCTTGATCTACCAAGTCAGAGCTCTCAAGGTACACAAGTGAGATAAGATTCATCATGATCTTGAAGACTGCTTATCACATTATATATAGTGTTTGATCACTTGATCGCTGGAAACAAGAATTTGGGCATCTGTTGGTTCTATTTAAGTTTCTTTACTTCTTTATATGTCTTATCCTGGTCATAGGGTGAGACATTAAACAATGTAAAGGGAATATCAATTTAAAGAACCATTCACTTTTTAGAATATAAATCTATAATTTCTCAATTCTGAAAGGGAAAATCCTTATGTGCATTGTGAGAATGGGACACTTTCTATAACTGGTGTTAAACTTTTTTGAAATATTCAAATGGTTTTTCCCCACTTTATTTTGGTGAAGAGTTTTTAATGTTGGGGGGGGGGGGGCTTCTTGCTATCACCCTAATCTTAAACTAAATGTCAGTTCAATCTGGTAAAACTTACAGGAAGAGAAAAGACAATTAGGAGAAATGTATTCATACAATTACTTTGTTGTTGAGCAAGCATGAAGCAACAGTGGAGTGGAAAAACTCCCCATGGGGAAGAAACCTCTGGCAGAACCAGGCTGAACATGGCGGTCTTCTGTCGGACTGGTTGAGATGAGACAAGGAACGCAGTAAGAGTCCAGGAGGAATGACACTGATGAAGTTTTAGCTACGATGGTGGAGGAGGGTTGGAGGTGTATGAAACTGCATCATCAGGAGCAGACAGGTGCATGTCAGAAGCCTTTTATGAACTTTGGATGCTGATTGGCTTTCGTTGAGGTGAATAAAGGAGAGCAATTAGTTTCTTCAGTTGAACTTCAGCCTGGGCTCCACATTTAAGGCAGGGACTCTGACTGCACAACAAAGTATTTATATCACCCAGGAAGGAGAACAAAAAGAAAAAGAAAAATGAAGAAAACCACTTTTAATCCATTGTATGTGAAGCTGGGAACAACTTTAGGGGTTAAATGTAGCCTATCAGGTATGTTTAAAAACACTTTGCCTATAGGCTGCAGGTTAATACCATGGAGAGCTCCAAAACCCTAAAGACAAAGCGAACAGCCTGCTGTAGAAAATAAACAGATTTATGCGCAAATGTCACATTTAATACACTTACAGCGCTCGCGCGTGAATTCATTATTAGACCATATGTTAATGCAGCTGCTTCTGTGTAGCCTATTTCTGTGTGCGTGTGTGCTGAAGTGGGAGGGGCAGGGGGTCTCTATCTCTCTCTCTCTCTCTCCGCATAGTGGCGCTCTGAAGTACAACAACAATCGCTGTCCTGGAGTCTGGTGCGTGCTCGATGGGTCGGAGGAGGCTGTCTTTGCATTGTTCCTTCTGCAGTTTGATGCTGGCAGATATAGAGGTAGACCTGGTGATCTGGATGGGTGAAGGAAGGTCGCTCTGAACTTGTACCGATCCACATTCAGCCTTCAGCTGAGGTGCAGGGAATAAGGATAAACAGCATCCTGCAGGCATGGGAATATCTGGATACCGTGGCGTAAATATTTGATATAACAGATAGAAAGAGGAGCGTATGATAAGGAGAGTGCAGACAGGAGACGTGGCTGGATCGATGGAGGCAGAGGAAACACATGGCTAGAGATGCTTTCTGCAAGAACGGGCTGGTGGTAAACGATCACACCTCGGGTCTTGCACAAACAGGTTGGTTTCACTTCGATCAAACTTCGTTTGATGCCAAAAATCGGAGCTGATAGAGATGCAGAAAATGAATTGAATTTGGCTGCATAGCGACGCGCCTGGTTTTCACTGGTTTATTTGGAACCTTCCAGGACTTTAGTCTGAAATAGAGGCTTTTATATGAGCCCGAAGGTCATAACCTTCACTGAAAGGGATATCCCGTCTGGAAACATACTTAGATCTGTCCACAAATCTAGATTTATCATTCAAACATAAGCAGGGGGCGCAAAAGTTGGTTCCAAATTCTTGTAACTCTCAGTGCTGCAGGATAAACTAAAATAAATGATGAAATCTGTTCTTCCACACATTATTTTTCCTATTTAATTTATGTTGAAGTCTGTTTTGTATATGTAACATTGTTTTCTCTTAGATTCCATCATTTGTATCAGATTTAAATACAAAAGTATGCAATTCATTTCGTTTAACAGCATCTCTCACAATAATAAAAATGACATAATGCTCATAAAAAGCAAATAAGATAAAAAGAAACAAATACAGCATACCTCAACTAATATAGCCCTTTTGTTTGGCAAAGATGATTTTTTTTTAATTATTATTATCTATTATTCAATTTATTTTTTTATTTTTTGAAAAACAAAAACATCAATTTCATCCAGAAGCAGTTTGCATGGTAGGAGACACAAACATTTCTTTAAGAAAAAAGACCTTAGACTCTTTATCTTCAAGTATAACATCCCTAACTCACAGTTACAGACATACTTCTCAAGTTCTCTCACTAAGCCTAAACCATTCTGTAAGAAAAATGGAAGAGAATTTTAGCCTCCAAATGTGCAAAGCCTGAGTAGACATGAATTTAACTGATTTGTAACTTTATTGCCTTAGAGAGCTGTTTGGGTATTAATGTCATGATGGAAGCAGAATTTGTGAGGGTTGTACAGCCATGTCTGATCATGTAAAAACAATAATCCAAGATCAAGGCTGGTACTACATTTTTTTTTAAATCCCTTTTAGTCTCATTATCTACATAAATTTAAACAGGTATTCAAACTCACTTGCCATATAATTCATTTCTTGATGCATCTGAAATATTAACAAACTCTTGTTTAGTTTTTAAGCTCCAAAAATTTAAATTTTTGTTTGATCACTTGATGATATTTTCTTCAAAAAGTAGTGTGTAGACGGGAGGTTGTGCTTTTATTTGTTAGATACTTCATGTTTTCTGTCCTGTTTTGTTTGAAAAAATTGACTTAAAGGCAGAGCAGAGCTCAATTTAATGACAGAGTTAAAGAAAACAAAAACGTTTTGCCCAAGGAGCTCAAAACGGAAGAACAGGAACAGGATGCATGAAAAAGACAAGGAAAGGCAGGGGCAGCTGAAGAGACCAGCCATGAGCAATGATAACCAGGGAACTTATGTGCAGAGGGAAGTGTGGAAAAAGGCATGGCAAAAACAGGTGAGCGTAATTAGATAAGCTAAGACTAATGAAGGACAAAGACAAAGGAAGCTTAGGGGAAGAGAGAAATAAACAAGAGCTGTACAGACAAAAAACAAAGGGAAGGAATCTAGCAAATCTACACAGAATAAAGAAAGAAACCAAGAACTAGTCCTCGAAAAAATTTAATATTTAAATGTCAACAACTGGAGAACATATGCAGCAGAGAAAAACAAAAGAAACTCAGAACCTTAAACACATATCATCACAGCTTAGTTTAAATGGTATTTTGGTTTTGGTCAACCACTTGTGATTGATTAATCATTTGATGCTTTTTGTGATTAATTAATTCTTATTTACATTTTAATATTCTTTCTTAATCAAATCAAGGGAAATAAACAAAACAAAAACTCTCCCAATCTTTTTAGGGGCAATAGAAGTTGCTAAGCTAGAAGGAGACGGCTTCAGGATTCATCTCTAGGATTAGGCTTTAGGATAGAATTGATTGATTTATAAACATTAAGATAATGAATAGAAGTTTAACCTTGCTACAAAACTAATGTTCTTCTAGGGAGTAGGTTGAAATACGGCTGCATCTAACACAACGGACAGCTGATCCCAGAGCTGTACCCTGAAATTGTATTACACATGAAGCAAGGCCTATATAGACTCTGAGCTGAATTCATTCCAAGTAGATGGAGAAACAGCTCAGTCTTGTTATTAAGGAAAATTAGTCCATCTTATCAGATTTTTTTATCTGTAATGAAATCACATTGTTTTAATGCGAGGAGTGCCAGTGGGTCCCTGCGACCGTGCCCCTGGATTAAAACTTTTGGTACTACTTAAATAAAAAATATGGACTCAATCATAATTAACTAATTTTACTGGTAAATCCACATTTTCCTATGCATATAGAAATGACCTTACCTGTTTTCTCACCGTCTGACATTAAATCACACTAAACGTTTAGTTTAAGGTCTGTAAGAATTACCTGATAACCATCTTTCCATGTGATGCGTTCTAGTTTGTGAAGTGCACCAGTCCCTCCTGCAACAAAACATCCACACACCATAGTTCTGCCACACCCTTTCATCATAGTTGTATTTTGATTTCAGGTTTACAAGCTAGGGTTGAACGATTTTGCCAAAAATCAAAATTGCGATTTCTTTTAACCAAATTTGTGATGAAGTGCTAGCTTCTTGCAAGCATTGATCTAGCTGCAACTCTCACTAGCTTTCTGTGTGGGGGACAAACCAACTTTAAGTGTTTTACTGCCACACAAAGGTCTGGAGTGAGAAATTTTGAGTCTTAGTATGTTAAATATACATAATGTGATTAATATTGAATGCCTCTGTGATTGGAAATTTCGTTTTGTTCAATAGCAATTATATAGCCAATGCAATTAATTGCACCACCAATATTCCGTGCAAACTGGCTTTTTATGTTGCTGCTGAAGTAATTGCTTCTTCCTTGCTGAGTGGCATTTCATCAAATGTTGGTTTACTTAAAACCCACCGGGTCGCCAGCGACCCAGTTGACCTTAAGTAAGTAATAATTCAGAATGCATACAGTTCCACCGGTAAATTTTTTTACCAGCAGGTAGAGCGATTGCGCGCAGCTCCAAGCTGATATTATTACAATGCTGTTCAAAAAAGACCTATCATTTCGGGTGCAGGTTGGTCTGTGTTCTAGTCACCCAATTTTTATTTATATATTAGGAAACTAGAGGGTGTTAGCTTTCAAATAACGTATTGCAAATGTAATTTGGGCTTACAGTTCGTAAGTTATTTGTTTTTCTATTTGGGTATGCAAAATAGGTGAGGATTTCCCAAAATGAGGTGGATGTTAAGATGTTAGGACTTGCTAGTTCCCATAATCTCTTTTTAGTTTCAGTCAGAATTTTTCAATCAGTCAGGGATGACCTGAAAATTCGGGCCACTGAAAATCTACAGCCAAAAATGATAGAAAGGTGCATTTTAGCTTTTCGGCTGATAGACATTTAACTTCGAAACAACCCGGCGGAAACTTGTGATAATGCAATAAACAGCACATTCAGCACAAAGAAATGTTGTTGAGCGCGAAAAATGTAAAGCACTGAAGCAAGAGAGGACAGGTAGCGGAGCAAGATTTGTCAGACGTTGCACATCAGTCTCACTGCGTGCACATATCAGTGGCACGAAATGCCATAGAAGGTCCCAATCACCATTCTGAAGATGAGAAGGAAAGAAAGCTGGCATAAAACATGCCCACTACATCTGTGGAGGACTTGTTTAAAAAAGCAAGAAACATTCCCAGTAATTCTGCAAGTCCAAGGGCATAACAAAAAGATGTCAGTGGTAGGCCTAAAATGCATTTCAACAATATAACTTCATTTGGTGTTACGTTTTTTGGTTTTTGGCCTTGGTTTCCAAATATTGCGTTTTCGGTTGTGACCAATTTCCATTGTGGTGCATTCCTGGTCCTTTTAAATCTGGGGTTGAAAAGCAACAACAAACAACAACATGTTCATCTTTGAGCAAAAATTAATCTCTCTCCAGAACAGTATGATGGTGGAAGAATTTATGTTCACGTCTCTACCTTTAAACCCTGTAGCCCGTTCAGAACAAAAGAACTAGACATCTATAGAAATACGGTTCTCCTGATTCCTTGACCAGTTTCTTTGAAAAGACAAAATAAAGCAGTATATCTAAGATGTTTATTAATATATATACAGAAAGGTGCCTCTATTTAACTCAAATGTTTATAAATTAACCAGCTTCATAAGTTATGCTCTACATCTCCTCATGAAAGTGTAAAAATGTATATTGTAAGGTTAGATTCAGAAAATCATAACAGACATTTGAACACTAAGAAAACAAATTAAAAAGTTTTCTTACAATTTTCTGATGTTTTATGGCCCTCTCTCAGAAGTGTGAAACCACAGATGGATCCAATGTGTGATGGAGTTAAGAAAACTGAGTCCAGTGATGCAACTGTGAACCCTCGGCCCCCTCCAGCTAAGATAGCTCGACTAGAACAATACAAGATGGGACCCTCAACTCCAGAAAGGGGGAGACAGGGGAGTCCTGCGCCCAAAAGTCCTTGCTCCACCCAGAAATCCACTACAGCAAGCTGGCACTCTAAAGGTACTGGGTCAGGATTAAAAAAAAACTGTCAGTAAGAAGAATAACTTTTAAATGATCAAATCTGACTCATTCTTGAAATAAATAAGTTCTCTTTGAATATAGGAACTTCTCGTGATAAACCTGTTGTCTCTCTGGCACCCTAGGAACCCTTCTTCCTGTGTTCTGTGTGGTTGAGCACAGGGAAAGTTCTGTGGAAGCAGAGAAAAGAGACGACCACGCTGAGTTTGTCTTGGTCAAAAGAGATCTGTTATTCAATCAGCTGACCGAAATGGCTCTACTGACGCTGGGATACTCCCATAGCTCTGCTGCCCAGGCTAAAGGTAGGCAGCACAAAACACACCGAGCAGAAACAGACCTTTGCAACCTAAGATTTTATTGCTTCTGTGTGTTTAGGTCTGATTCAGGTCGGCAGGTGGAACCCAGTGCCTCTCTCCTCTGTGACTGATACTCCTGATGCTACGGTGGCTGATATGCTGCAGGATGTTCACCATGTTGTCACACTGAAGATACAGCTTAACAGGTAGAGAACAAGCTTACATTTATATATGTTTTTTATTGCAAAGTGCTAGTTTTATCTGTGGCTAATGGAGCAATTTGATTAAAATAATCAAGCCCAGAGATACTTTGGACTTTATAGCAGTTAGCAATACCTTTGGCAGTGTGGGCAGGCAGCAAGTCCTGATGGAAAACCATACAGTGTAAAGTCAATAACCAAAGATTCAGCAAAATAATAGCTTTGTGTATATTAATTAGGGCCGCAACTAACAATTATTTTGCAAATCAATTAATCTATTTTTTATTTTTTCGATTAATAGATAGGGAAAGGTTCCTTAAGGAAGACTTTTTAAGAAATTAAACCAGGTGAAAATATTACTCTGACTTTTTTTTTTTTTATCCAAAATGTTTAGATATATTTCTCTTATCATTTTGGTATATTTACTGCTCTAAATGGGTTGGTCTGTCAGCTAAAGACGTATTTTGTCAAAGGTTTAGAACAGGCAAGACAGACAGTGGAATATCTTAAAAATGCATTTATTCAAACACAGGTCTGCACTTCAGCAGCTGCAGTGGCTAGGGCATCTATCAGTTTTAACAGTTCAGCCCGTGTCCTGAGAACGAGGTAGGATCCAGCTGGCGGGCTGCCAACAAGATGCAGTGGGTGCCACCCAGAGAGTCCCAGATGCTGCAGCCCTGGAGAACATGCAAAGAGTCCAAACAGTCCAAAGACAGGTCAGACAAAAAGATCAGAACAAGAAGGCTCAGAGGTCCAGGAGTCTGAAGCCAGGTCAGGCAAACAGATCAGAACAGGAACTGGCTGGTTCAGAGGTCCAGGATTCCAAAGACATTTGAAGCAAACCATTCAGATGGGAACAGGCAGGCTCAGTGGTTGAGAGGCAGAACAGGTCAGGATCAGGAAATCAGTAACACTAAGGGATGCTAAAAACCACTTGCTCCACTGGCACCAGAAAACGGGATAATCTGGCCCTGATAACTGGATGCAAGCACCTTAAACAGAGGTAGGAGCAGGTGGATCAAATGAGAGATATTTGTGCCATCGGTTTGAGCGCGCAGGAACCAATCCGAGCGCGCAGTGAGACAACACGCGCGCGCGCAAAACCGGTCTGGCGCGCGCTCAACTCTGAAAAACCCTCTCAACACACTGTTCTCGCGCTCAGTTTCATCTCTGCGCGTGCTCGAATCCGTCTCTGCTCGCGCTCGCTCGACCTGCTCTCTCTCCGCGCTCAACACCAGCTGTGCGCTCGGCTGTTTCTCCGCTCGCTCGACTCTCTGCGCTCGCAACTTCAGCAATGTATGTAAATGAACCATACCATCAGCCAATCACACTCAGCTTCTTTTCATCCAATGAAAGCATTCCTTCCTTCTTCTTCTTCTTTTCTATCATGGCGGATCGCAAGCAACTTTAAGGTGCATACTGCCACCTACTGTTCATGAGTGTGTAGCAACATTGTTTTACATCTATTAAATTCTATTTTTTAATTTTGCATTCTGAAGATAACTAAATAATGCTTTCCTTAATCTATAAACATCCTTTATATTTCCTTTATTTCCCAATAATCCTTTAAGACTCCATTCTTGGCCTATCATTTCAACTACTCTTCTCAATTTTTCCCTTTCAGGTTCATATGTTTTACAGTTCATTAATATGTAAGCATTCGTTCCAAATACTACATCCGGTTAGATGAAGAAAAAAATAAATAAATAAATAAAAACACAATCAGGAAAATCAAACAACTCTTACAGTTATTTTGTCAACATTCCTAAGATAGTACTATAAAATATCTTGAATTATCTCAAATAAACTTCAGTAAAACAGTTATTAGATCATTGCCTCATCCATCTCTTTTACCTGCTATTGACATGGATTTAAATTTGATGTTTTAAAATAAAAATAAGGAGGATATTTCAGGTTCAAGTATGGTTCAACAATATATAGATAAAAAATATTATGGATATGTTAAAATTTTTTATGGATGCTTCAAAATATTCCAATATTAGGAATGGTGTTTTGTTTTAGTTTCAGAATTTATTTTTAAATCGGGTAAAAGAATCAGTGATGGAATTCAGCCTACAAAGGAGAAATGTTTTGGATCATATTGGCCTTACAATGGATTGAAGAAATCGTTCCATTAAGAAGTTTAGTTTGCTCTGATTTTAGATCAGCGACCGTTATATTAATTTAAACGCAATTATTCAGACAGCAGACCTGATCTGAAATTTAACAATTATTATTTAGAAGACCTTTTACAGATGGACTCTAAATAAGAGGGTTATTCTTTATTATATATATTAAAAAGAATAATTTGATAAACAGGATTTTTCAGTTGGTGGCGGTAATTGTTGTTTGCCAACCTCCATAAAAAACAACAAAAAGAAGAAACACCCGCCACAAAAGCTAAGAGTAAGGCCAATATGATCCAAAACATTATCTATATACTGTTGAACCATACTTGAACCTGAAATATCCTCCTTATTTTTCTTTTAAAACATCAAATTTAAATCCATGTCAATAGCAGGTAAAAGAGATGGATGAGGCAATGATCTAATAACTGTTTTACTGAAGTTTATTTGAGATAATTCAAGATATTTTATAGTACTATCTTAGGAATGTTGACAAAATAACTGTAAGAGTAGTTTGATTTTCCTGATTGTGTTTTTATTTATTTATTTATTTATTTTTCATCTAACCGGATGTAGTATTTGGAACGAATGCTTACATATTAATGAACTGTAAAACATATGAACCTGAAAGGGAAAAATTGAGAAGAGTAGTTGAAATGACAGGCCAAGAATGGAGTCTTAAAGGATTATTGGGAAATAAAGGAAATATAAAGGATATTTATAGATTAAGAAAAGCATTATTTAGTTATCTTCAGAATGCAAAATTAAAAAATAGAATTTAATAGATGTAAAACAATGTTGCTACACACTCATGAACAGTAGGTGGCGGTATGCACCTTAAAGTTGCTTGCGAACCGCCATGATAGAAAAGAAGAAGAAGAAGGAAGGAATGCTTTCATTGGATGAAAAGAAGCTGGGTGTGATTGGCTGATGGTATGGTTCATTTACATACATTGCTGAAGTTGCGAGCGCAGAGAGTCGAGCGAGCGGAGAAACAGCCGAGCGCACAGCTGGTGTTGAGCGCGGAGAGAGAGCAGGTCGAGCGAGCGCGAGCAGAGACGGATTCGAGCACGCGCAGAGATGAAACTGAGCGCGAGAACAGTGTGTTGAGAGGGTTTTTCAGAGTTGAGCGCGCGCCAGACCGGTTTTGCGCGCGCGCGTGTTGTCTCACTGCGCGCTCGGATTGGTTCCTGCGCGCTCAAACCGATGGCACAAATACAGGTGCTGGTCATAAAATTAGAATATCATGAAAAAGTTGATTGATTTCAGTAATTCCATTTAAAAAGTGAAACTTGTATATTATATTCATACATTACATACAAACTCATATATTTCAGATGTTTATTTTGTTTAATTTTGATGATTACAAATGACAACAAATGAAAATCTCAAATTCATCATATCAGAAAATTAGAATATTGTGAAAAGGTTCAAAATTGATGGCCCCTGGTGCCACACTCTAATCAGCTAATTAACTCAAACCACCTGCAAAAGCCTTTAAATGGTCTTTCAGTCTAGTTCTATAGGCTACACAATCATGGGGAAGACTGCTGACTTGACAGTTGTCCAAAAGACGACCATCGACACCTTGCACAAGGAGGGCAAGACACAAAAGGTCATCGCTAAAGAGGCTGGCTGTTCACAGAGCTCAGTGTCCAAGCACATTAATAGAGAGGCGAAGGGAAGGAAAAGATGTGGTCGAAAAAAGTGTACAAGCAAGAGAGATAACCGCACCCTGGAGAGGATTGTGAAACAAAACCCATTCAAAAATGTGGGGGAGATTCACAAAGAGTGGACTGCAGCTGGAGTGAGTGCTTCAAGAACCACCACACACAGACGTATGAAAGACATGGGTTTCTGCTGTCGCATTCCTTGTGTCAAGCCACTCTTGAACCACAGACAGCGTCAGAAGCGTCTTGCCTGGGCTAAAGAGAAACAGGACTGGACTGCTGGTGAGTGGTCCAAAGTCATGTTCTCTGATGAAAGTAAATTTTGCATTTCCTTTGGAAATCAAGGTCCCAGAGTCTGGAGGAAAAGAAGAGAGGCACTTCATCCACGTTGCTTGAAGTCCAGTGTAAAGTTTCCACAGTCAGTGATGGTTTGGGGTGCCATGTCATCTGCTGGTGTTGGTCCATTGTGTTTTCTGAGGTCCAGGGTCAACGCAGCCACATACCAGGAAGTTTTAGAGCACTTCATGCTTCCTGCAGCTGACCAACTTTTTGGAGATGCAGATTTCATTTTCCAACAGGACTTGGCACCTGCACACAGTGCCAAAGCTACCAGTACCTGGTTGAAGGACCATGGTATCCCTGTTCTTAATTGGCCAGCAAACTCTCCTGACCTTAACCCCATAGAAAATCTATGGGGTATTGTGAAGAAGAAGATGCAATACACCAGACCCAACAATTCAGAAGAGCTAAAAGCCACTATTAGAGCAACCTGGGCTATCATAACACCTGAGCAGTGCCACAGACTGATCGACTCCATGCCACGCCGCATTGCTGCAGTAATACAGGCCAAAGGAGGCCCAACTAAATACTGAGTGCTGTACATGCTCATACTTTTCATGTTCATACTTTTCAGTTGGCCAACATTTCTATAAATCCTTTGTTTTTATTGGTCTTCAGTAATATTCTAATTTTCTGATATGATGAATTTGAGATTTTCATTTGTTGTCATTTGTAATCATCAAAATTAAACAAAATAAACATCTGAAATATATGAGTTTGTATGTAATGTATGAATATAATATACAAGTTTCACTTTTTAAATGGAATTACTGAAATCAATCTACTTTTTCATGATATTCTAATTTTATGACCAGCACCTGTATCTCTCCATACAAACAGAGCTGTGACCAGATGGTCACTGCGCAGATGTTGGACAGAAGGAGACAAAAATCTGATATTCATTCTCATAACGTATCAGTTTATTAGAAGATAGAAAATGTCAGCCATCACAGTTTCATGAAGAGTCAGATATTAAATCCCTGAAAATGTCATTGGGTGCCAGGGTGACAGAGATAGACTATAAGGCCTTGTTCGACTAACAGCCTTTTTAAATAAAAGCAAAAATTAAACTGCTTTTGCATTACAATACTTTTAAGATTTTTTGTTATCTCTGCTGCTGCAGCTTTTTTTTTTAATCTCACCTTAAATTTCTAATAATGTGGTTGAAATCATACTTCTGTGTCTCTCACTATTAGGTCAGCAGTCATCCTCATCTCTTTGTTGACTTTAACATATAGTAGATGATTTAGAAAAACTTGAATAAATGTATTAAATGTTTTCATTTTCAAGGAAATTTAATGTTGGGATGTAATTAGCTGTAGGCCATCATTAATTTTCATCGAAATAAACACTAGGAATATTTTACTCTGTGCGTAATGAATATGTATGAGTTTCACTTTTTAGACTGAATTACTGAAGTGAATTAAAATTTGATGACAGTCAGATTTATTGAGATATTCTTGAATGATAAAGAGTTGATCACCCTCAACATCACATTATTTTTTCTCTCCTTATAAAACAAAAAAGAATTCTGTGAGAATTAAGACCATTTTTCACTCAATTCTCAATTCTTGCTATTGTTTTGGTCTAAAGCGTAACTCCACATTTGTAAGGATCATTGCATGAATAATTTGTGAATATATGGACAGACAGACAGACAGACAGACAGACAGACAGACAGACAGACAGACAGACAGACAGACAGACAGACAGACAGACAGACAGATCCTTGGATTTAGACAGAAGTGAACAGTAGATATGGTTATATTATTTCCCATTTCTTAATTTTTATATGGACATGTATGTTCTCTATTGAGTTTGCAATAAGATAAATAAGCTGCCACAATTTTTAAAGAGGCAAGGACTCATATAAAGTAGTGGAAGTGAAAGGCTCACCTGTTTATTTAAGTAAAGACATGAGTGTGTAAATTGATTAATGACTGAATATAGTATAAAGCGCTTTGGTTAAGTCTCCTGACTTGAAAAAGCGCTATATAAGCTCAAGCCATTTAACAGGCAAGGCCATTTAAAACAGAAACAGGAGAACTAGAAAAAGACTAACAGGAAATGATGCTATAGGTACATGGAAACAACTGTATGGATGGAATAAAACTGTCTAGCTGGGTGAGGCACTGAGATAAGGACATGAAAGAAAAGGACCAAAAAATAAGAAATGAACACAGAGGAAATAAATTCAAAAACAAAATGAATCTTAGAAAATAACATTAAACCCCCCAAACCTTCAAAAGAGAAACTTAACAAGTTTACAAGAAATGGAAAACAAAAAGTCATTTTATAGAAAACGAGTAAAACACACAACTTAATGTAATGTTATAACAGGCTGTCTAGAATAGAGCACTTAGATTCTGAGGGAGGTGAATCTATGTTGGTTGCAACTATGCAACCGACTATTCAAAGCTTTTCTTGCTGCTCTTTGTAATCTGGATAGAGAGAAAAAAAATTAAACCAGAAGGTTATAGAAGGAGAGCACACACATCAGACAGACTCCCATTTAAATCTCAACAATGGGTTACATTACTAAATTTTCCTTTTGGGATTAATAAAGTATTTTTTAATTTAAATTGAATGGAATATAGCCTATTTCCAAAAAGCTGTTATCCTCTAGGTGGAGTATCAATCAGAATGGAAAGTAGAGCAAAAAAAGGTTAATTGAATAGCCATATACTGACACATAAGGTAAGGGGAAAATGCTGCATTTAATTTTTCTCACAAGTTAAAACAAAGATCTTTGGTTGACATCGCAGCTGAGTTATGCAAGTTTCAGATACAAGTCGACATCAACATGTTTTTCCCCAATCTACATGGTCAATCTGTCAGAAGGAACCTTTACTCAATTTGTTCCTGATTATGTTTTATACACATTGAAATGTTTACTTTTAATTAACTTTATTCCATTGCAGTGTGCTTCTCTTTTTTTTTTTCATGTAAATTTTGTCTTAATTCTGAAGTGTGCTCTCTAAATAAACTTGCCTTACCTTGGTAAAATTTCTTCAGTACACATCCAATTGTTTCTTTTTTCAAGCTCTTTTCCATAGCAGTTTTTTTTTTCCAAAGGCCCAGCAATAAAACTGTAAAGCAATGATTCCTTTAGTTGTTGTCTTTTCTTTTATCGTTTTTTAAGTTGTCCCAAACTGGAAGACTTGCCAGCTGAGCAGTGGAGTATCTCCAACGTGAGAAACGCTCTGAAGGAGCTTCTTAAGGACATGAATCAGAGCTCCCTGGCCAAAGAGTGTCCCCTTTCCCAGGTATGCCACACAAACCTGAATTAATCAACCACAAGTAATTAGACCTCTAACACTGCATGAAAAGTGAGATTTTCGTCCCCGTAAACCCCCGTAAACTCCCGCAGATCTGCCTGATTTTCGTCAGTTTCCGACAATTTGCAACCCGTGCTTGTCCGCGTTTGTCGTGCCACAAATTGTCGGAAACGGACTCTGACGTATGTGGAGAGCGATCAGCTGTACTAATGGCCCTAATTAGCATATGAATGCAGCAAACCAGCGCGGCTGGCCAGGTCTGGCTTGAATAACCTTCTCAGTATTGGCTGAAACCACTATTCTCAAACAAATGAAATCGCTCGTGATTGGCAGCAAAACCACACGTGGCCACGCCAGGCTTTAATTTTCTTACTGAGTATTGGACGGAACCACTTCTTTTTAAACAAGTAAAGTCGCTCGTGATTGGTTGGCATATATATATTTACATATATATATTTATTCATATATATATATATATATATATATTTATTCATATACACTATATTGCCAAAAGTATTTGCTCACCTGCCTTGACTCACATATGAGCTTAAGTGACATCCCGTTCCTAATCCATAGGGTTCAATATGACGTCGGTCCACCCTTTGCAGCTAGAACAGCTTCAACTCTTCTGGGAAGGCTGTCCACAAGGTTTAGGAGTGTGTTTATGGGAATTTTTGACCATTCTTCCAGAAGCGCATTTGTGAGGTCGCACACTGATGTTGGACGAGAAGGCCTGGCTCTCAGTCTCCGCTCTAATTCATCCCAAAGGTGTTCTATCGGGTTGAGGTCAGGACTCTGTGCAGGCCAGTCAAGTTCATCCACACCAGACTCTGTCATCCATGTCTTTATGGACCTTGCTTTGTGCACTGGTGCACAGTCATGTTGGAAGAGGAAGGGGCCAGCTCCAAACTGTTCCCACAAAGTTGGGAGCATGGAATTGTCCAAAATGTCTTGGGATGCTGAAGCATTCAGAGTTCCTTTCACTGGAACTAAGGGGCCAAGCCCAGCTCCTGAAAAACAACCCCACACCATAATCCCCCCTCCACCAAACTTTACACTTGGCACAATGCAGTCAGACAAGTACCGTTCTCCTGGCAACCGCCAAACCCAGACCCGTCCATCAGATTGCCAGATGGAGAAGCGCGATTCGTCACTCCAGAGAACGCGTCTCCACTGCTCTAGAGTCCAGTGGCGGCGTGCTTTACACCACCGCATCCGACGCTTTGCATTGCACTTGGTGATGTATGGCTTGGATGCAGCTGCTCGACCATGGAAACCCATTCCATGAAGCTCTCTGCGCACTGTTCTTGAGCTAATCTGAAGGCCACATGAAGTTTGGAGGTCTGTAGTGATTGACTCTGCAGAAAGTTGGCGACCTCTTCGCACTATGCGCGTCAGCATCCGCTGACCCCGCTCCGTCAGTTTACGTGGCCTACCACTTCGTGGCTGAGTTGCTGTCGTTCCCAAACACTTCCATTTTCTTATAATACAGCTGACAGTTGACTGTGGAATATTTAGGAGCGAGGAAATTTCACGACTGGATTTGTTGCACAGGTGGCATCCTATCACAGTTCCACGCTGGAATTCACTGAGCTCCTGAGAGCGACCCATTCTTTCACAAATGTTTGTAAAAACAGTCTGCATGCCTAGGTGCTTGAATTTATACACCTGTGGCCATGGAAGTGATTGGAACACCTGATTCCAATAATTTGGATGGGTGAGCAAATACTTTTGGCAATATAGTGTATATATATATATATATATTTATTCATTCATATATATATATATTCATATATTTATTCATTCATATATTTATTCATTCATATATTTATTCATTCATATGCTGTGTATTTATGTTATCCTACACTACTACACAATTATTATGCTACCATCAAGGACATGAATTAATTTATACAGGAAATGAAGATTTGCCAGGAAGCTGTTTATGCAAAGAAAGAGCTTTATTAAAACACACACACAACTATATACAACGCATATCCAAACACATGCGTATCTAAAAATTACAACTCCGTGAACGGTCCGTTTGCTTCCTCGGGGTTGGAGGTAACAGGCAGCATTCCCTCCGAGGCAGGTCCGATGTGCAGACGCATACTGTGCGTGGCCCTGTACTTCGGCATCGCTTCTAACCGGGACTGCAGCTTAACACAGAGTTCAGTGAGATCCGGCCTACGAAATGGCGGCGACCGTACAATCCATCCAGAGACACCGCCGACGACGCCATCTTCTTCGTCGGACATGAGGTCGACGGTGGCGGACTTGCAGAGTTCCACTTCCTCATCTGATAGCACACTCTGCCTCGCCTTCAGCAGCTGAAAAAAAAAAACAATGAATCAGCGCACTGCATATGGACACAACACATCTATCAATGCACCTGAAAAATAGTCACCAAATAAAGTCTTACCCTCTTTCTTCTGGCCCGACTCCGAGCAGATAGCCTCAGCACGCAGCGTGCTGGCTAGCAGCGTGTATCTGAAGCTCCTGCATACCGTCTCATAATACGTCTTACAGGCAGCTGGAAAACAATTAAATGAGAGTGGTATGAATAAAAAAAAAAAAAAATCAAACGCAAGTCACAGTAACAAGGAAGGAGAAAACATTAAAATAAAGTCACTTACACACAATGTCGTCTTTATCAACATCGTGCAAATCCGAGCAAATAGGAGGTCACCGCCTCATTGTGAGGCGACTGTAGTCTGTGAAAAAAAAAAAAGTACAGCTATGGTCGGTATCCATCCGTATCCATGTCCTTTTACCGCTGAATGAAAGCATATTCTTTAAATCTTACCCCTGCTCCGGTTCATAGCGCCTGCAATTAGTCTCCGAGTTGTTAAGACGGCATAATGCTTCCTGTGAATCACAAAAAATACACTTTAATAAAGCTTTAGGCTAGGCTGCTTTTAGCTTACCTAGCTAGGCTAGGTTGTCTTTAGCTTGCCTAGCTAAGCTAGGCTGCTTTTAGCATAGCTACCAGTAATCGAACATATATTTACCGCTAGCGTGGCGTTGTGCACCCGTCTTCTCTTCCTCGAGTTCGTATATCCCGCAAAGTTGCTCGACTGCAGATAGGGTGGCCAGATGTCCGGCTTTAGGGCGGACAGTCCGGATTTTCATTGCACTGTCCGGCGTCCGGCGCTGCACCCAGCCGGACGTGTATTTGTCCTCCTTTACCCCCAGATTCCACATACTCCGTCAGCGCTCCGCCCCGCTCACGTACGGAGTACTTGTCTGTCATGTAAATCAATGAGAGCTGTTCCACATCCTCCGCTCGTCACCGCCCACGTACGTCTTCTCCGTCCTTCACCGTCAAAATACGGAGCTGAGCTATTTTTTGCTCCCCTCCGGTCCGTCCAGATCAAGACCCGCTATTGCAATCGCACCAAACAGAAAAAAGAATGTAGAGAAGACCCGGTTTGTCAAATTAAATTATAGTAAAAACAGATCGGTATCTAGAAATTAGAGCATAGTTTGTATATATTCCCAAAAACTAAGAGCAATTAATTAAATAATTGGATGCAGACTATTGGTGCTTCAACAGACCAGGAAGAAGTTGTGAGATTCTAGAGTGAATCTCACAACTTTAAAAGAAAATTCTTATTGCAGGAATGGATGAAGAGATGATGAGTTTGGAAGCAGAGAATAAACAGAGTTCATACAAACTATGTATGATCCTAGTTATCCCTGTTACAAAAATCGGCAACAGAAAGAAAATATTTGGGCAGAAACTGAACATCTGCTGGATGATGATGGGGATTTTTTTAATATGTCAGATTCAATTAAGCGTTCACAGGTTTTATACAGGAATGAGGAGCTCTAATTTAATGCTATTAGAAATAATTTTAATGCCATCAACAAGTATCATGTACACAAGTTATTAGTTTACATGAAATAAGGAGCTGTAAGCACAGTTCCATGACTCAAGTTTATATATATATATATATATATATATATATATATATATATATATATATATATATATATATATATATATATATATATATATATATATATATATATATATATATATATATATATATATATATATATATATTTATATATAGATAGATAGATAGATAGATAGATAGATAGATAGATAGATAGATAGATAGATAGATAGATAGATAGATAGATAGATAGATAGATAGATAGATAGATAGATATGGATAGATAGATATATAGATAGATATGGATAGATAGAGAACATGGTGAAATCATCTTTACTCTCGACAGGCTGCAGCCATGTCATGAATTCCTCTTTTCCAGCCACTTTTTGCAGTTTGCATCGTCCTATTCTCTAGCTCTTTCTCGAGCTTCTTTTCCAAACAACTGCTTTATGATCAATTGCAGCAGTTCTGCGCAAATTAATTGTGTTAAAAAAATGGTCACTTTTTAAACACCACAATGTATTAAATAAATACAAATGCTGGGAACCAATTCTTTTTTACATTTCTTTAATATTTTGTTCTATTCAGCTACACAAGCATCCTCTTTAAACTACTAAGAATTGTGCTATAAATGTGACTTTACCCGATTCTTATGTACACCTTAGTAATTTATTGATATGCCGCACAATGTCCTCCTTTTTGGTGCTATAGAAATGGCCACCCTAACTGCAGAGCCGCCATCTTGTCCATTATGGACTACAACCTGGAGTGCATCGAATTCTCCAGCTGAGTGAGGCGCTCATTCATGTCGGCAGTATGTTGGGCAAGCTGACGAGACAGTCCGCTGATAGCAATCAGCAGTTTCTTCTCGTCAGTCTGCGGGCTGGCCGAAAGTTGTGGACTAAGAGCAGTTGGAGGCGAGTTGAACACGAGACGTCGTGCAGCCATTGTTCACGTAACAACAAAATACAAACACGGTAACTGGAGATGAAGCTCTTCTGAGTATAGTAACACAAACATGTCTGCTAATATGCTGGTCTCGCGAGAAGTCGTAGTGCACAAAAGCTCACACGTGATTGGACGATGGGGCCGAAGGCTCATCAGGCTCCTCCAATCACATACGACGTCATTGTTATACGGAAGGACTCGCGAGAAGAGCTCGCGTCGCTCCTTTCTGGAAGGTGGCGGTAATGCACCTACAGTATAAATTGTTTGCAATTGCAATTGTTTGTCTCCATAAGATTGAATTTGAGCAGGTGGACATTAGAGATAATAAATGCAACAACAAGTTTTTGAATCAATATTCTATAAATAATATGTACCCAGGAAGAACAAAAAGCACAGCTCTCTTACAAAATTTTAAGAAATCTATGATAGTCAAAATTAGGACAAATTATTTGAAATTCCCAATTCCTCCTAAATATAAAGAATTACAATTTAAAATAATAAATAACATATATCCTTCAAATGAGTTTTTAAGAGAGAGATTTAAGTTTAATGTTGAGAATTGTGGCTTTTGTACAACTCAATTGGAAACAACTAAACATCTTTTTTATGAATGTAAAGAAGTATTAAACTTATGGGATCAACTTCGAACCGTTCTGTCTTCTAAAACAATAAATTTAGATTTTATTTCCTGGCAAAACATTTAATTCGGTTTATCCATTAAAGAAAAAAAATTTGGAATTTTTAATTAATATTCTAATAATTGTAACAAAGTATTATATCCATAAATGTCGCTATGCAAAATGCTCCCTCTCAATCTCTGCTCTCAAAAATGAACTTTCCCTTTTCAAAAGATGTCTGAGAAAGATGCAGAATTTAAATGCAATTAAATTGTTTGAGTTAATTGAAGAATTTCAGTTGGTAGTCCCCACTGATTAATTTACTTTAACTACTATTATTATTTTATTTATTTTTATTTATTTTATTTTATTTTATTTTATACTTTTTTCCAGCCTGTGCATTTAATTTTATTTTTCAAAAGCAGGAGTTGTGATATTTCTTCTTGTATTGAAATATTTGTTATTGACTTGTTATTTGAGATTGTTATTGTTTTCTTATATATTCAATAACAAAAAAAAAAAAAAAGTGGAAATCTAAAAAAAAAAATTAACCATTACAGCCAACTGATTCTGATTAAAACTAATTTTTGAAGTAAATTATTTTGTGTATTTTTTTTTTACATAACATTTGCATACACAGTAATCTAGCGTACTTTAATTAAATAAATCAATTCAAGCTAAAATGTAAGAGTCTATAATTAGGCTATACTGAGCCTGATCTATTTCTACCATCTATTTGGGGGATATTTATTGCCACACTTTGGGCCACTTAAAACCAATTTAGCATGCTGACCTATGTCCTTATGACCACAGTGTACCAATCTTCTGATGGCTACTTCCAACAGGATAATGCGCCATGTTATAAAGTGAATCATCTCAGAGTCATTTCTTGAAACTTTTCCACTTAAGTAATTGTGAATTGAGCATATTGACAGACAACATTTTATTTTTTTATCTTAAATGCAAATTTAAAAAAAAATAATTACAGCTCTAAATGTATTGCTCTGTCAGCTAAAGATCTGTTTTGGTCTCTATACTTTAATTAAATAAATCAATTCAAGCTAAAATGTAAGAGGCTATACCTGATCTCTTTGTATCAGAGATTTTCTTACCCAGGGTTGCAGGGGGGGTAAAACCCCCCCTGCAACCCTGGTTTGCATTTGTATAGCTCACAGCATGTTCATTTACATGTTAAAGCCTCCCCTAGAATTCCATGGGGGGGAGGCATGGGGGGAACACTGCCTAAGAAATTCCACGTCAATTTCTGACAATTTACGGGAGTTTTCGTCGAAGCCTGCAAATTGCCGTAAACTGCCGCTAACCTGAAGTTCCACGACAATCTACAGTGCCGTATATTGACGAAAATCCCACTTTTCATGCAGTGTAAAACCCTCATTCTAGGTTGATTTTTGAAGTTTTGGTTTGTAAAATCATAATAAGGCATATTGGTATAAACACAGAAGACACATCCTAACTAAATAATAAAAAAGGACAAAATGAAAGGAACGTTTATGTGTTGCCTTTGGCCTTCATGTGCTGTGTGGGTTTGTGGGGCTGCATTTATAAGCTCATATGTGCTCCAGTAGATATGCAGGAAGCAGAGATGCTGAGGTTGATATGATGTGGGGGTAGGGCGCAGGAGAGAGCAACAGATAAAGAAAGATGACTATCTCTTAAAAAGCCATCTCTCTCTGGCTGCTCCCTATTTGTTTCTATTGACTGTAGGCCAGTCTGTCTGTCTGTGTGTCTTTTTAACCTCAAAATGTAGCTCCCGACTTTGTTTCCACCATTTAATACATCCTTCGATGTGTTGTTTAAAGACTACATGAATTTAATTAAACAGATTAAATAATAACAATAATAATAATAAAAACAGATCTCATTTTATCATTATCAAAGGAAGAAGAGTCCAGTTTTCAAAAATGGCATTCATTTTGTTCTGCAGCTTTAAAAGCTGCAGTAACTAACACCCGAATGTTAATTTGTGAGTTGCAGATTACAATAAACATGTAAAGGTCATATGTAAAATCAGATGTAAAGAATTCACAGAATAGTTCTTCCAGGAAAAGGTGCATCAGCTGCTAAAAGATAGAAATCGTCTCTGATGACCTCTAGTGTTTTGTTTGATTTTGCGCACATGCATGCTTGCATGCAGAGCTCCCGCACTGACACACTCATCTGTCTTTATTATGCTATTTACCTGGGGGTCTTTTTAATAACACGGATCTGAGTTCATTAATATCAGATGTGTGAGCAGCTGAGGCACTCAGGCCGCCCAAAATGTAATAAATACCTTTTGTTTTCTCCCCCCTCGTGTTTCAGGGAATGATATCATCTGTTGTAAATAGCACTTACTATGCAAATGTCTCCGCTGCCAAGTGCCACGAGTTTGGTCGCTGGTACAAGCACTTCAAAAGGTCCAAATGCCACAAAGGTAGGATTTTTAATCATTCCAATACACATGAAATGGGAATTTCTACTCTTGATTTGTATTAAATTAATTAAAAAGATGTTATCTTTTGCAATAATCAAAATACGGTTTAACCTTTATGTTTCAGCGATATCAGGATTTTCTCTTGATGATTAATTTGAATTTATTTAAATTAAATAGTGGCATATACAAAATTTGGGAAATCTAAGTAGAAGTCTAAATCATATATGTCAATAAGTAAATGTTTAGTTGATAGAATAAAAAATTAAAGCTTTGGAATAGGGTGTTTTAATTGAGCTATTTCCCTCCAAAACATGTTGGTTTTGTTTCAATAAGTGCTTTACATTCAAGACAGTGATTAGAAGGGAATTGGTGAGTTTAAAACCTTTAAAAGCAATATTGACTTTTTACTTGCTTATTGCTATGTCCAACTATGTCCTCTAAATAGATGTTTTTAATGAGTAATAATTCCTTTTAACAATCTAATGTGTATTATGCATTTTGGGGAGCGTTTTCTTGTGTTTATGTTGAAGTAAGAGTGGAGGGTTTTCTTAAAAAAAAAAAAGGAACCGTAAAACCTTCCCTAATACAAAATAGACAAAGATGTGATTATATTATTTCCTTACCCACAGGCTTGTACAAAATTCTCTATTATAGGCTTATAATGACATTTCTAGATCAACTTCTTAAACCGAAAATGTATTTCTTCCAAATAAAAAAAAATGTAAATCTTCAAATGATTGAAACTGGAAATTGACTACCAGATAAGCTATAAGCCTTCCTATAGTCCTGGAAATTCCTAGACCTAAAAACAGTGCATGTGCATCTTTTTATAAGATTAAGTATTTATATCAGATGCCCTGCTAAAGATCTTGATGTCACCCTGAGCAAGGCACAGAGAATATGTCTAATAATGTTTCGCTAAAAGACAAACACAGAGTAGACAAACAGAGTAGAGTATCAAGCAGAAGGTCAAGGTAAGAGGTCTGAGAGAGTAAGATGTGAAACCTTTAGCTTGTCAAAAATGTAATTCCTAAAAGCTGATAAATCCTATATAAATGAAAAAAATCCTGGTTAACTGGTGTGCAATGCAGAATACTATAATAAAAGAATAACACAAGAGATGAAGACACTAAATGTTTTGAAAAAAGACAAAGATTTCCATCTTTACTTCCTCAAATAGGTTTTACAAATACAAAAAAACCTTTTAAATAATCTGTAATCAGTTTAACTTGTTTCAGCCCGGGTTTGAAATGTCTATTTATGGTTTCAGATTGGACTCTGGAGGACTTATGCAGAGAACCTTTTCAGGATAAAAAGCAAAGGAAAACATTTTTTTTATGTATCTTGGGTTTTCTTCAGTTTAGGATTTTAAGTATTATCATTTATAAACTTTATTGAGACATTTTAGAATTTAAAAAAATATATCAGGGTGTACAATTGTAGAACTTGTGTATAAAGACAAACATTATATTTGAATCACAAATATTTCAAGCAAGCAATGCTTTCTCTTTTCTGATTGTTTTTTTTTATATTTAGTCAGTAGACTAGCAGGTCTTCTTTAGTTTTTGTACAACAATTAATTTGTCCTTTTTTCCCACCAGACAGTGAGTGCTTTCCTGAGCAGTCCATAGAAATCACCCACACCCAGCAATCAATTCCAAGCAGCCCAGTGGATCAAAACTCCAACCTTCCTTTCCCAGGGGCCAACATCTGTGGACGGCCATCGCTTGGTCTTCACCCTCCTGGTTTGCCCCCCCAGCATCTCAGCTCCCAAATGGTGAACCAGCAGCTGATGATGACCCAGTTTCTTAACCAACAATATGCCGTCACCCGCATGCTGGCTGGCCAGGCTCTCTCCTCTTCACCACAGCAGTATCTCAACCACCCCCCTGTGGGAAGGCCTCCTGCCAAGACCTTTATTAAAGCTTCTGATTCTCAAGCATCACCGCAAACACAGTGTGGTCCAGGGGGATGTCAAGCAATAATGACGCAAAATCAAAATGGAGCTACAGCGTCTTCTGTAGCACAGACCGACGTACCGAGTGATATCTACCAGAATGTGAGGGAGGAGCTGAGGAGAGCGGGCATCTCCCAAGCCATCTTTGCACGAGTGGCCTTTAACAGAACCCAGGTATTGTAAGATGGATGTGAAGAATGAATGTTGACATTATTTGTTGTTTAGAGCTATTGGACAGAGTACTTTTCTTTATTTTGACTCATTGCATTCAATAAAAACTGTTTAGCTCTTTGAAAACAAATGCAGAGAGTACTGCACAACTTCCAACCTACCAATCAAGTTTGGCCGTCCGTCTAAGCTTAAAGGTTGGACAAAAAGAAATATGTCAGAGAAGCAGCAAGGAGGACCATGATAACTACGGGGGTGTTGGAAAATCATTACTTAGGGGGAATAATCTAGGGCCATTTTTTAAAAGAAAACCACCAAAACTCATATTCTCACTTTGCCACAAGCGAAAAGGGAACAGCAAAACATTGGGAAGGGTGGTGCTCTGATTTGAAGATACCAAATAAAAACTTTTTGGGCCTACATGTAACCCTTTATATGTTGTGGAATTATAACACTACCTATCACCCTAAGCCCAGCTGCCAAGATATGTATTAGGGATGTGTTTTGTCAAACAGTTAGGGTGTTTCTCTTTAGCAAGAACACAGAAGTGAGAACCTGTGCCAAATAGGTTCAGTTCCAAGATGTGTAAATTTTACATGCCTTTCCTTCCTTTATGTTGCTCTGTCTCATGCAAGAACTATAAAACACATTGAGTTTTGTGGTTTTTCATGTTTCCATTCAAGCATATGGCTACTTCTGCAAGGCTCTATACTTGGTCTCCTGTTGTTCTAGTAAAGGGTATGAAATCTTGGTTTGCACACTGGCCTTGCCTGTGCTGCTCTGACCCCCCTCCCTCTGTTACTGTGGTTCTGTGTATGCGTTTGTGCCAACTCTCTGCAGCACAAAGCTGGTGCCAGCAGAAAAGCAGCTGCTGGGCCAACTAATCACAACCCCTTAGAGAAATGTTGTCCCGCTCCCTACCTCCTGCTCAGTCTCACTGTCCTTGTATTATGCCACCTTTCTATCTGGGGAAAAAAAAAACCCTCCCTGTTCTCTTTATTCAAAATCTCCCTCAAAGAATCCAACCTTTTTGTTTCATTTCCTGTCTTTCTTTGAGACCATCTTTTTATACTTCCTAACTGCATCAACAGAGTTGAAATATTAAATTGTTTACTATCTACCCCCATGTTTCCCTGTAGACATTGGTGCCACAAACATTAGGCATTATGCCAAAACCTCATGTCGTAGCAAAAAGAGCATTTTTCACAAGCATTTTTTAGACAATTCACACAAAGAACCTCTTCGATTTGGAGGCTTGGGATAGGTGGGGGTTTCCAATACTTATCCATTGTTTATAATTTTCTTATTTCCCTTTTGTTAATTATTTAAAGCTACAGTGTGTAATAATTACAGGGATAACAGTCAGAAATGTAATATATTATACATAACTATGTTATTTATCATCATCTACAAGCTCAGCCTCTTAACCTTAATATTTGCGTTGCCTTAGAATTCGTTATTTATAATTACATAGGAGTGGGTCTCGCAGCCATGGAGGCAGACATCTTTGCACTACGGCAGTGCAGAGCCAACAAACTAGCGATTGCGAGATCGCCCATTACGCTCGAAAGTAACTACGGCAAGTTGAGAGAGATGAACCGAGACGGTACTGAACAACAGATGGCAGTATTATGCCTGAGAATACTATCTGTAAAATTATCTATGTAAACAAACCTCATCACTTGAGAAGGTAGGTGATGCGGACGTCGTGGAAGACATTTTGTCCCGTAACGCTCGCCGTACTGTTGGGGGGGGAGAAGCGGTGGGGGGGAGATGTTCATGTTGCTGCGGTCTGCAGTCTGGACGTTAGATGTCGCTAAAAATGACACACTGTAGCTTTAAATGAACAGTCTGGTCACATTCAGAATAAAAAACTTCTGAAAGTAGTTTAAGTGTGAAATTATTACATACTTTTCAATAAATGGTAAATGTTTTTAATTAAGAGTAATTCAATTTGTATGTTCTTTAACCGGAGACGTCCAAGTTTGTCAAAGAACACTACTGTCACCTACCAGTTTGTGACGTCACGGTGCGGTATCGGCTGTTAAGCAAGTTCCAGGGCCGTATCTGGCACAATGGGCTATTATCCATGATGGCAACACCAGTGCTCTATGCAGAGCAAAGAGTAACAGATTAAAGATGTTTTTTCTCTGGCCAGAAGTTTGATGGCAAATCCTCCCTCTTCAAGTTGGCAATCTAACAACAAAACCATAGAGGATCATGAATTGCAAAGGTGAAATAGCCAATGTTTTTTCACGTTTACCCAATGTATACAACATCAAACTGCCATTCACGTGAGCATTGTCAGTTTAATTATAGCTCTTGTTAATTTCAATGGTGAAGTCCTCTTGAAATCTTTATTAATTGTTGATTGCAGGAGTGTCTAGTAGTTCCCATTGATTTTGCTTGTAAAGCAGGGAGAATGGCGTTAGGCTTACTGCATCACTGACATCACTGCCTGAAGATGTCAGGAGTGAGGTGTTACTATATTTGGGCAAAAATGGCCGTTTCTGGACTCAGTGATTGCGACAAAATATATTGTTTTTGTTTTTTTACTGATTAAGCTAAATTCATTAAATCTCTGCGAACGTATTTGTTTTAGGTATACAAAATGACCCAATGGTTATTCCTTGCTGACCGGACTTATCCTTTAAAGATAACTTGCAGTTTAAGCATAGGTTTTCATAGATATAGTACTACACTTAGGATTGATTATGTCAAAGCTCTCAAATATTAAACTGAAAGATGTATTTGTGGAAACAGTCAATGTGTCATTATTGCAAGATTATAAACAGTTGGAAAGTTTATAACCTATATTGAACAAAACATGACATGTCTCAGAGGAAAATGGTTATGGTGCAGGTTCAAAAGAATAAACCATATCCTGGATTACAACAAGGTTTATATTTTTGTCCATAATTGAGCAATTACATTTTTGCTTTACCCTGCATTTCAAATGATACTATAACCATAAAGAAACAAAGACAACCTCAAATTGCCTAATGCTACCTAATTTGTATACAACTAGATTTGGATCAGAAGACTAAAATTCAACACGGTAAAATCCAAAATATGTTGTACCTCTGTCTGATTTAAACTTTTAATTATTTTCAATTGTTTTTATTTGTATTACTTATAGGGCTGACAGTGTTATTTTAGAATGGAATTTCATAATTGAAAAATTAACAGTTTTTTCTTTTGTCTTACATTTTAACAAATTTGACATGTTAAAAATAACTGAAGCCTTTTTCATTACAATGAGTTTATGGTGTGTGGAGTTAAATGCCACACTAGTCTCCAAACATTCGTTAACTCACCTTTTTATCAACTTTATTATACAGTTTAATTTTACCATATGATCTCTTATTTTTTCTCTTATAGTTTTAGACGGCGGTCTAGTCACTTTTCTAACCCCAAAAATATCATCACAATTTTTAACCCAGTGTTAATGTTAGTGGTAAAAAGCCGCCTACATGTTTTCTTTTTTTTCTTTTTTTTTAACAGGGTTTACTCTCAGAGATCTTGAGGAAGGAGGAGGATCCAAAACATGCCTCCCAATCTCTGCTGGTCAACCTCAGGGCCATGAATAGTTTCCTGCAGCTTCCCGAGGCTGAGAGAGAGCGCATGTACCAGGAGGAGAAGGAAAGAAGCATGACTGGCTTCCCACCCAACTGCAACACCACTCCCCCAAGATCCACGCAGGTCAGCCAGGGTAGAGACTATCAGAGATGAAAACAAAAGCCACTTTTACATGTATGCTTTGAAACTTTCCATGTTGTTTCCATGTTGCTTCTAAGAATATAAAATCTGCATATAACCCAGATAAATTATCAAAATACAGACTCAGACATTATGGGGAGATGAATCACAGGAGAATATATGGATAAAAAGGATAAATATGGCTAAATTTTTTTTTTTATCTACAAGTTACATAAGTAAATGTTACTAAGTAAATGTAAATAGCTACTACCAGAGGTGGGTAGCGTAGAGAAGTTGATAAGATGGCTACTCATAACATCTGAGAGTTATGTAAAAAAAATTGGCAATTATTTTATAAAGTATGAAATAAATTTTAAATTTGTATTAGATTACAGTGGTTACAAACCTGGGCAGAAGAAAAAATTTGCCAAACAATTTCTTTGAAAAAAACTCATAACACTAAATCTTTGTAGTAGGTAATGCATATATATGGGGAAAGAATAATGAAACAATATCTATTTATATCTATTTATATGAACCTAATCACAAATAGTTCAAGGGACTCATGGTGGATGGAATAAAAGATTAAACACAATTATACCTGTTAGAACAAACAAGGTTAAACTAAGTCTTGCTAATCTTGTGAAACCAATTCGTAAAAATCTTCTCTGAGCTTTCAGCAGAACAATGCTCAGTTTGAAAAGCTATCTGCCACAGTCGGCAGCATGTTTTGATATGACGGACTGGGGATCAAATACTGAATACATCTGACATGAAGTCTGTGTCAAGTCTGAGCGAGTTATCATGACTTAATGTTGAGATCCTTGAATAAGAGAGCAGCCACAATAAAACCATCATTTCTTTTTTTATAAATAAAGCACAAACCCCATATTAATGCAGGAAATATCAATTACTTTTCCAGGAGAGAGTTGCATCAAAACCCAAATCCACTAAGCCAGGTTTACTCTCTATAGTAAAGAAAAGGATCAAATCAGTTAACCACGTAGCAACAGCTCTGCCAATGTCTTCCTCCAGGAAAGAGATGCAGCTAAACACAGAATCACTCAGTGATGTGCAGCTTGTGCACCAAGAAACAACCAAAATACAAAGTTAAATACCAGAAATAACCGCAAGCAATGCATAAATGGAGAGATAGTTACAGTAGTTTCCTATCCCCTGTTGAGTGTAACAGCCTCACATTGCGTAAAATCTGTTTTATGGTAGGTTTACAATTAACAACATTCTATGTTCTCTCAACCAAACTCCCTGTTGTTTAATGTGCTCTGAAACACAATCCTAATTTAGATGCTTTTCGGTCTCTTATTAGGCGAGACTGTCACCAGTTACAGCTGAAAGAGGGTTGAGGACAGACAGTTGTGTTCTCAATGTCAACGCCTCTATCTATGAGGAGATCCAGCAGGAGATGAAGAGAGCTAAAGTGTCCCAAGCTCTTTTTGCAAAAGTTTCTGTCTCCAAAAGTCAGGTATGTGCTTCCTCGGCCATTGCAAATGAGAATTCATGAACTTGTCAAATCCCTAACTTGTGCATATTCGAGCCACTCATTTTCATTGCTTGATTAAATGTTTAAATTTGGCATTTTTTGATAACTACATGTTCTCATTTGAATCAGAAATAGCTAATGTGTGTGGAGAAAAGCCCAGATAATCATCCAGCAGCTGCGCTCTGCAGAGGACTATCGTCAGTGCATCAGACTGCTTTTGTGTCCTAAATTATCACTTTAATAGTCAGCATACACACACTCACACTATTTATGCACACAGATGTACTGTAAGAAGGCACGCACTAACACACAGTTGCACAAACATGCACACTCACATAAATCCACTAATACTAACACACACACAGGCATGATTTGAGTGTTTATTGTTCTCATTTTTATGGCTGCCCCATAAGCTTGTTATTGCCTTTTGTTTTGAGGATAATTTCCCTTCATAGAAAGGGGGGATTTTTGCTTTCTGGCTTTACCTTCTACAGCAGATTTACTTTCTTTCTTTCTTTCTTTCTTTCTTTCTTTCTTTCTTTCTTTCTTTCTTTCTTTCTTTCTTTCTTTCTTTCTTTCTTTCTTTCTTTCTTTCTTTCATTCATTAATTCATTCATTCATTTTTTCTTTCTTTCTTTCATTCATTCCTTCTTTCTTCCTTTCTGACTATTCATATAGAGGTCATCCTATGGTCATACATATACAAGCAGGGATTGTTTTTTTTCTCTGCCCCTTATAATCTTTACTCCTCCATATTGTTTGTGCAGTCCCCCTCTATTTTTCTCTTTTCTCTTTTGCTTTATTTCCTCCCCCTTTTGCCTCGCTAAATTACCCAGTTAGTTGGCAGACAGAACCTTGCTCAGTCTCTCTTATCTGCAACGTGCATCTGGATGGCTTTTGGTGCTGAAACTGGGCTTCTGCCAGGTGTGTGTGTTTGTGTGACTATAATCCTGCTTCCAATCAAATTGCCGTTCATGAATATAACTGGGCTTTATGCTCCTCATTTGCCTCAATCTGCCACTCACAAGTTTATTCTCCGATGATGCCGAAATAATTAAAGCAGATAAAAGAAACTCAGTGGATTACTGGGCGAGGCACCAAGAATTCACCTTTTCTGCACATTTTACAAGTAGGCAACAAACACTTTTCAGTTCATGTGGAAATAAAGTAAGGAGTTACAAACAGAGGAAGCTAAATATTTTAGACATCTACTTAAAATTACTTAGAGTGCTTTAAAAAGTTTCTTACCACTATATTCAAATTTTGCCAGTTTTCAGTAACACTTTATGTGGTAGCAATTAGTGCTTCGTAAGGTAGTGAAAGGTTAACCATGTTGTTTACAAATAAAAAATATGAACTGTTATGCATTTGTATTTACCCCCTTCACTTTGGTACCCCATATTAAAATCCACTTCAGTTGAAAACTGTCAATAGTAATGAGTTGAACAGCTATTTTGATCTATGAAGAATGAATTTATATGAAGTTATTTCAGACAATCTTTGACGAACAACAATAAATAACAATAAATGAATCAACAAAATGCACACAAAAGAGACTAGTTAACATCAACCAATTAACATAGACCAACAATTAACTAAATTCACCTGAACTTAAATAGAAACAAACCCCTCCACCAAATAAACCTGTCGGTATATACAGCCAGATAACTGCCTGACATTGATTAATGTAAATTGTCTGAAAAGGGGTATGAAGAAGAAAAACTTATTTTTTATAACCCCTCTCCCTCTAATTGCACTTAAATGAACTTAAAGTACCAACCTTAACGTTTGGTCCAAAACATTGTAAATATCTGGGGCATGAGATTGGTAGTGTTAAGTTGTGGAACCAAATGCTCGTTTTTTTTGAAAAACAGTCCATAAAAGCTTGAATTTGAAGGATTATTATAAGTTATTCACTTAAGCTGGGAATACACTGTATGTTTTTTTGGTATTTTCGGACCGATTCTCCAGTTGTGCAAGAATTTTTTTGATTGGGCCGAGTTTCAGCCTGATCGTGCATCGTGCAGCGTACAGGGGTTAAAGCGGGGTGATAAGCCTCTCACGACGACCTCCCGATCAGGAATCATAAGGTCGGGAGAAAATCAACATTATTTGAAATTATGTCGGCCGTCGTGGGGTGTTCATGGACAAATCCTGCTGTTGAAGCAGAGCTACGAGCGGTTTACCAGAACCTTGAACACTGTGCATGTGCAAACAAGGTAGTTTTTCTTCTTCCAGATTGACGAGTCCGACCGGCGCCATCTCTCCGCGCTGAGTCCGATGTGTGGTGTGAGAACATGCATTGCGAGCTGTGAACTTTTAAACCCTGCGGTTTCATCGTATAGTTTGAGTTGTAGCTGTGTGTAATGATTAAAAATATTGCACAGTGTATGCCTGGCTTTAACAAATCTGTCCTTATGAAAGAAAGTGATTAAGAAAGATATAAGAAGCCTTATCAACAAATGGCCACAAAGCATATAGGTAATATGTTGAAGAGGTAAATGTTTTGGCCTACATGCCAAACGCTGTGCAAAGTGAAGACATTTTGTATAACACCCTGATCACATTAGTGTCACTATTAAACATGGTCTTGGCAGCATCATGCTGTGGTAACACTTTTCTTTTGCAGGGATAGAAAGGTTTGTCTCAGTTGATTGGTGAAAATGCACACATTTATCTTTAGAGTTTTATATTTGTAAAAAAAAGAAAAAAAAAATATGAAAAACATTTACTTTTTTTTTTCTTTATGGTGATGTACATGGGATCCAAATTTGGAAAGCTTTTCAGTGGATGCTGAATATGAAAATCTTTTCTCCCAACCTCAAATCTGTGTACATCAGCACAGTATGCTCACAGACCCAAGCAAACAGGTCACAGGATAAATGTCAAATGAATGTCAGATATGAAATTCAGAAAATGCCAGATATGGAAACCCATGAAATGTCAGATATGAAACCAAAGGTCAGGTTTTAAATTCAAAATATATCATTATGTACCAACCTAACAAAGATATGAGTACAGTATAAGGCAAACATTTCAGCTTTACTCTAAGAGAGATCATATTTTAAATAATCAAATTTACACTGAAGTGTTTAGTTCAAACAAAGAGGAGAAAAATCTGCCTTAACATTTACAGTAGTGCATAGAGCGTCCTAGAATGGGTTTCCATGGCCAAGCAGCTGCCTTTAAGCCTCGCATCACCAATGCAATGGGTAGGTCAAGTCTTGGACTTGCCAAGAGAAGGACGCTTCCCTGACTGCAGTGCCTCATTTGTAGAATGTGCTTCAGATAGGATCATGGTGTGAGGCTCATTTTCCATTGATGGATTGCTTCCTTTGTATAATTAAAAGTTACTCCCAATGCCTCAGGAGAACAACACATTTTGCACAATTTAATACTCAACCTAACCAACATTATTGCCCTACCTCACCAAAAAAAATGTGATACATTGGACTTGTTTAATGAGATGCAAGTTTTTAAATACTGTTTGTGTGATTTATCAAAGAAAGCCATGAAGAAAAAAATAGGATTCCTTGTAAGTGACCATAAAACATATCAGTAACACATTCAAAATGCTGTGGAAGGTATATAAATTTTGTTTACCACCCTGACCACATCATTGTCACTGTCAAACATGGTGGTGAAAGCATCATGGTTTCATAAAGCTTTTTTTGCCAAGAATAGAAAGGTTAGTTTCAATTTATTGGTAAAAGAATTTTAAAATATTTTTAAAAGAAAAAATATATAAAAACCTTGATTATTTAATTTAGACAAGTTAGATAAAGTGAGTTTCAGGTCACTGGTGAAAAAATTACTGTTTAATTATGTTTATGTGATTCAACTACTGTATATTGAATTTAAACCTTAAAATATCCAAATAAGAGTTTTGAAGTTTAATTTAGTTTGGTGATGCCAGTTAATTTGAATGTTGAATTTGAAACAGACACATCCAGAAGAATGAAACAAATTAAATAAATCATTATTTATATCAAGCAAAAAAGGAAATTAGTGTCTATAAAATTCTATGGTGTTGCAGGGCTGGTTGTGTGAGCTTCTTCGGTGGAAGGAGGATCCCTGCCCGGAAAACCGTACTTTGTGGGAAAACCTGTGCATGATCCGACGCTTCCTCAGCCTCTCCCAAATAGAACGAGATGCCATCTATGAGCAAGAGAGCGGCAGCGGGACTTCACAGCACTGTGCTGACAGGCTGATGATGCTCAGTAATGAGAGCACACTGGTAAGGCCGCTAAATCAGTATATTAAATACGCTAAATCTGGGGGTCATCCTACGTGGAGTACTTTCTTGTGATTGGCTTATACAAGGGAGTTTTGTGATTGGTGGCAAACCGCTCATGTGTAAAAAATGCATTTGTGTATCGAGACGCCAGAGCAGTCTCAAAAATCCACACACAAATGCAGTGAAGTTAATATTTGTACTTTGTAATTTAATTTATAATTGTTTATGGATCAGAAATACTTTGGTGAATCTTGTTCTGTGCATGTTTGGATCTTCTATTGTGTGTGTGTGGATTTTTTGTGCTCGCGTGAATCATTCTGTGCGTGTTTGGATCTTGTGTGCTTGTGTGAATCGTGCTGTGCATCTGTGGATCTTGTCCTTTGTGTGTGTGGATATTTTTGTGCTTGTGTGAATCATGCTGTGCATGTATGGATCATGTCCTGTGCATGTATGAATAACATATGTATTTGTTAAAATTGAGACTGATCAAGATCCATACCTGAGGAAGGGTTTTGACAATTTAAATCTCAGTTTAGATTTAGGATTTGGCAATTAAGAGAGAGAGAATATTACAAAGCAATTTTTTCATTTTGTATATATTTAAGCTTATATGTACAGTTGAGTTTGTGGTTCTATTGAATAGTGCAGATTATATGTTATATTTTATGTTAAGAGTTTAACAAAGCCCTGTGTTTCTTGAATAATTAAACTCTTTATATTTCTGCAGGAATGGGTATGCTTTTTAGAAAAGCTACCGCCATTCTTTCTTGTATCTAACTTCCTATTTTTTATTAACAGCACCAACGCAACTCCATGATTTCTCATCAACCACATCTTCAACCCCATCACCCGCTTCAGCCCGAGCCAGGGCTTGACCTGTCTCCGCCCCAGCCATGCACTGCATCACCAGCTGAGTCTGAGGCTGGAGGCGCCTGGGGGCATTTCAAAGTAAATTTACAGAGCAGAAACAGCTGGGATGAGGAAAGGGGAGATAGTCTGGAATGGGTTGATGGGGAGAGAGAAGATGCTGACATCCTGGGTGCTGACTGGGGTGCTCCTGAAGGGGTGGGGTACATCTGTAGAGACAGGGATGTGCAAGAAAGAGATGGAACCATAGATCTGCCAGGCCAGGATAGCATTAGTCAAAACTGCAAAACTGAAAATGTAATAAACAACATATTTTTAAATAAGTCTGATGTCAAGAGAGAGAATAATGGCAGAGTTGGAGTATGTTCTGGGACCGATAGTAAAATTATAGCAAAAAAAGTGGTCCAAGGTGATAGGTTAACAGTGTCCAATGAAGCCCTGGGGATCCTGAAGAGCTTCATCCAGGATGTTGGCCTCTATCCAGATGAAGAAGCAATCCACACACTCTCTGCCCAGCTGGGTTTGCCGAAAGATACGATCCGTGTCTTCTTTAGCAGCCAGGACTTAAAGCAAAGTCAAGACAACAACCAGAGTCCAAAGCACATACATAACAACCAACAAGTCTGTTCAAACCCAGACGTCTTCATGGCAGAACTAACTACACAGGAACAGGAAGTCCCAGTAAAGGCAGAAAAAAGTGAAACTGAAATGGAGAAAATTGGTAGAGACACAGCAAGTGAAGTTTCTATTTCAAGGGAATCAGATGTTGCCACTCAAACCCTTCCCCCGATGAAGGAGGAGCAGGAGAGTTACGTCTAACATCAACACATTCAGAATCAAGGTAGATTGCTCTACCTCTCCAGCATACTCCTCCATTGCAGTCGACTGTTTTTTGGCTCAATGTATCAAGCATGTGCCATTTATATCAATAGTAGAAAATTACTTTGACTCTTCTTGAAATAACTACCAAACTAAGAACAAAGGACCCTTCATGCATGCAAATGTTTGATTAAGGTGCAGAGATATGGGTCTTTAAAGGTGTTGGTAAAACCTGTAATGTATGGGATACTCTTTTCTCGTAGAGGGTTTAAACAAGAACTCTAGAGTTCAATGCACAAATGAAATATGTTTATGCTTTGAAGCATGTTTACAATGCTTTTCTCTCTTTATACATGTGTTTTTCAGTTGCAATATTTAGTGTTGGTGCATAAGTTGGCTAAATCCTCACAACAAGATGTCAAAAATGCTGTGAATACTTTTTTGTTATTGCACATTTCTTCAGTTTTCTATGACTGTAGTGCATCCTTAGGAATAATTTAAGAGCTATGTACAGTGATGTGAAAAGTGATGTTCGGTCTGTTTTAATTTGAGAGTTTTGTGCATCAGAGTAGTAAAAAAATATTCTATTTGCCTATCAAGGGTAATAAATATCACAATCCAGTTCAGAGATAAGTTGCTTAAATATGTGAAAATAAATAAATAACGAATTAAATTCAGCGTTTAAAGCGGACACTTCCGTGCACAAGGTAATTGGTACATATTTTAGTTGTTCTTGGTGCCAAAGATGGCATGATAAAAATTAGTGCAGGTAAATAGATACTGTAAAAATCTGGAAAAGTTTTTACTTAAAATGAATTCAAGGTTTAACCTGAGATTGGCACAACTCAAAGAATATTGCATTTATTGCTTGTTTTATTTACTTACAGTTAATATATCACACATAAGATTTTGTCCAAGGAATGGTTTAATCATTAGAGAGTGTGATATTTTTCTTTTGTTTTTTAGTTTATATTCTCCAGGTATTAAAACAAGCTACAAATATTAACTCATAATATTTTATAGTGTGTTATTTGAAAAATAAAAGATTACTTTAAAGCTTAACTTCTAATCAGCATTTACTTAAAGTATGACGCTGTTCTGTTTGTCAGTTCAGTCTTGACAGAAATTAAGAGTTAAAAAAAAACATATATGTGTATATATTATTTGAAGTCATAGCAATCATCACCAAACCATGATTCCATTCTGTTAAAATGTAGGGCTTATTATTGTTCACAGTTTCATTAGGGCTGTAAAAATAACCTCAACTTATTCTTTTTCGTCAGATTTTGGGTGAGAACAAATTGGTTACAATTTCTCATATTAATCATGATTTGTACCTGTTTTTTTAGACACATTAAATCAGAGTTTAGGGCACTTGTGATCCAAGAGAACAAGACCAAGGGGTACCATAATCAAAAACACATATTCGAATTTGCAGTTTGATTTTATTTAATATTGAACTCCTGCACCAGAATACCTGACAATTTAAAGTGAAGCTATTTAACACTTAATTAATATGTAGAAAATGGAAAGAAACTAACATGGTTCTACATATACAGTAACAAATCAAGGTCTACCTTTATCGTTTCTTTTCAAATTTTGCATTGTGACTTTTGTTCAGTTGATAAATATAAATTTTTGGCAAATTAAACCTTTTTTTTTTTACATGAGTTCTTTTCACTTTATAAATTAAACCCTGATAATGTTTTGGCTGGGAAAATTGCTGGTTTATTTTCCATTTTAAATGCACTTATTTAAGAAATTCTGTTATATTTTTGCATCCCTAAAACATTTGAAGTAAAATGGAGTTTGCCTAATTGTTCTGATGTTTGTAAGTGGATCATGTGTGTTTACTATTTCTTTAAAATAAGGGAATCACACCCAACAAACCTCAAGTTCCCAGAGTTTTAAATGAATATTGCCTTATGCCTTTCTGAAAGTTGAACCACCGAGCCATGTGTCTGTCAGTGCATCTTGATTATGAGCTGTCTTATTGATATTTATGCTTAAATGTACTTTTGTAGGTTGGCTTTCATCTTTCTAATTTATCGTTGATCATGTTTTCCTTGTAACATGTAAGCTAACACAATAAAATAAGAGTAGAAGTTAGCTGTACGGCTGCAGAATAAACATTTTATTTAAAAAGGATGGTTGAGCAAGTATGAGTAACAACACAATGCAAGCATGGAATTTCACTGTGGTGTGTAGTTATAAGAGGAAGTTTAAAGTGAGGTAAAAGCTCTTCCTAAAAACTTCCTAAAGGCCGATTCCTCTTTTGTTGTACATCTTTAAGAACCACTTCTCTTGTGAATACAGTGTAGTTAATGTACAGTATTTAAAGCCATAAATCCATTTGCTTTAAGTCTTCAATCTTTCAGTAGCAAAGCAAAAAGCTTTCTCTTGGTCTTTTTTTCCCCACAGAGATCATTAAGGGGATAGTGGTTAAATTTCAATTAATGTTGAAAGGAGAAAAAATGTTTTTGTTAAAGTCTCTTATTTTTGCATTCATAAATGCACTTTTCCAGTATACATATATAAAAAGACTACTTTTGTCTGTCTCATATTTCACATATTATCAGATAGAAGAAGAATATGAAGCTGGCCACGTTTTTTTGCAACTTTGGTAAAAAAAATCTCTAATAACCCTCCTCTCCTGTTAGCATACAGTAGTGTCTTTATTTCAAATAGCCTCTTTTGCCAATTAGATATCACATTGCCGTTTCTCCAAACATTTCACAAGATTTTTAACATGCAGAGAAATAGATGTTTAGGAATTCCTTACACAAGCTCTTCAGATCGTTCCTCCATTCAGCTCAGTCCAAAGGTTTCCTGGAGCATTTTGCTCTGGACCCTTAAATGGTTAATTTCCCTTTATCTCTATTAAACTATTTCTGTACTGATCTGATGATCAATTCTGGATCATTATCCATATATTGCCCCCAAAGTCCGTATTTTTAGTGAAACATGTCTTTGTAATTCAAAGGGATGGTGATGCACACATTAGCAATGTTCCCAGACATTTGCGTAAGATATACGCATTCCAATCCTACTATTAACATTTGTAATAGTAGGATTGGAATGTTATTTTTTTCATAGAGCCCCTAAAAATATTTCTTTTTCAGTGGGGCTTATGTTGCTGCAGTGAAATAATTTTTGACATCTCGCTACAAGGGTCTTCTAATACATCTATGCTGGTTTGTATGTGTTTATATTCAGGATGATGTATAGAACTCATTTGTAAAGCAATCTGCGAGTCTCATAATGCAGATCAACACAGAAATAATTGAAATGATGTTAATTCTTATGGGACTTTTTTATTTGTGCTCATGCAGATTTGTTGAGGATTTAACAGTTGGATACAATGCACTGTTTGTACATTTGTTTGGGTTTTTTTTAGCACCAATTATTTTCCAACATTGCTGCTGGTGTTTCTGTGAAATGGTGTCATTGTGTTCAGTTATTAAACAGTGTTTTTGTCTCTCTGGTCACATGCCCTTTGGAGCCTTCAGTACTTTCTCTTTCTTAAATTCTTCAAGTGTGGTAACAGTTATTTTATTCTTGGGTCTGTCGCTCCATCCCTGCCCTAGACTCTCACATGTTGCTCCTTTAGACCTATTGCATCACAGCTCCTTTAGTGTACAGAGACAAAAAAACAAAAAAAAATTCAAGCACCATTTGGTCATAAATAGCTTCACAGCGTACTTCAACAAACGCTGTTCTCTTTGCTGTCGTCTGTTTCCATGACAATACTTCAGGAAGGGCCAGTAAAAGGCCATGAAAGCCTCATCATCACTAATATTAGCTGTAATAATGATGATAATAGCACCCTTGAACTGCCTTGCCTGTGATAATGATGGCAAAAGCAATGATGGTCATTATTTCTGCTTCTAACCACCATGCGGTCCAATGGAAAAATTTTAAAGCAGTAATGGTGTGTAACATGCTCATCTGTGCAAAATGTCCCAGACATTATAATATAGTCTTATATCCATTTTTTACTGTCCTGATTTCCAATTGTACTGTTTGATAAACCTGGTTTTAAAAACACGTCAGTCACATGTCTGACGTCATAAATTCCTCCCATTAGGCAGAAACTAAAATGCTCATTGTTTTTTTGAATAAGTGCTAAAAGATGGAAGTCTTTTTCTGTTTATAACCTATAAACCTTATAATTATGAACATCTCTCCTTCTGTAAGTAAGTCTTGGAGGGGGTTGAGAATATCTCTGTAAAACTCCCTCTGCAGTCATGCTGAGAAGGACTTTTCTGGAAAACAAAAATCATACTCCAATTGCGATTGAACTTTGGATTCATGGGAAGGTATGAGCTGGGTTTTGGCTGTAAAGTTGTGGTTCAGATCTCATACGTCCCCAAATGCTTAGGAAATTGTGAAAGTTTTGGTTTTGGTCTACATGATTTGTTGAGTTTTTTTTAGAAAGAGGAAAACTGTGTTCTATTAAGTGTACTGTGAGGGCAGAAATACGGGCTACCGGTACCTGGTTGACTTTTATAATAATAATAATTGTTTAACTTTATTGATTTCACATGGGAGAAATTTACCTCTTTATTTAACCCATCCCCTTGGGGAGCAGTGGGCTGCCATTGTGTGGCGCCCAGGAAGCAGTGTGGGGTTGGGGTCTTGCTCAAAGAACGAGAGTGGCAGTCTGTGGGAGTGGGGCTCGAACTCAGAACCCCTAACCACTAGGCCGCCACTCCCCCAATCTGATCCAAGGATTCTTACACAAGAACTGGGAACAAGCCTAGCTCAATTATGTAACTTATGGGAAAAACATGTACTTATTAAGAGCATTGTTGTCTGGTTTGTGACCCTTAGGTTTCCATATTTGTGTTTTTTTTGTTGCTTTTTTTTTTTTTTTGCTTTTGTTTTCAGATGATATGATTGTTGTCATCCTTACAAGATGACCCTCAGCATGGAGAGTTCAAAACTGAGTGTGAATTAGAATGACCTCTTATAAGTCTAACTCCAATGGTTCTAATCTGGAAAAGAGCAACTACCTCCTCTTTAGATGGGGTACAAATATCTAAAAGGTGATGAAGAGGTCTGGTAAATGGTTCTGACCCTTATCTACCGCAAAGGTATGGATCACCTTCAAGAAAGTGGGATCCAGGAGAAAAGGGGATGAAATTAGCTTCACTGAAAGTTTTTTAGATAGTTTGGAGTTCTGTCATCTAAGAGGACCTCAGAGACTAGCTGCTGCTCCGCCACATCAAAAAAGAGCGGCAATGGTTTAAGTGTCTGATCAGGATGCCTACAGGCCTGGGTGTTTGCTTTTAGAGGTTGTCTGGGTTTGTCCCACTTGGAAGAAACCCAAGAGCAGACGTTTGCTGGAGGCACTTTGTCTACTGTTTGATTAAAAACATCATAAGACTCCCAGGGGTGGACTGACCTTATAGTCAAAGTAAAAATCAGGCCTCCTACCATCAAGGGGCCCCACCAATGAGGGGCCCTGTTGGTTGCCTACGCACGTAACAGTGCAGCTAGGAGTCATTTTAGAAACAGAAATACTTTGGTTTGCAATTAAAGCAATGACAAAAAAACATGACACAATATATCATCACCTGCTAAAGTATGGACTGAGTGTTCTCATCTCAAAAATCACCCAGTTGATGCAATGTGCCACTTAGAGAGCAGAAAGAGAGATAGAACAGAGCTGTGAAAGCTCTGTAGGAAAGTGAAAAAAGTGAGGGGGAAAAAAGTGTATTATGATACCATAATTGGATGAAATGTTTTATGAATTGCCCAGATCTCATGAACGAGAACTTTTCACTTAAAAGGATGGTTTAATGATTATTTTCCATATAATTCCATATAATCACTGAACATTTAATAACCTGAAAATAAGAGATGAAATAGAAGACAGAAAAAAAGATATTGGCAGAGACATGGGGACAGAATGGACAGTTTTTCTGTCCTTTAATTACCAAGGCAGCTGTTATGTCAAGGACTTTTTCAATACATAAAAAAATTACACCAAGGGCTCCAACAGAGGGACACGGTTCACTTTAGTCCTGCTACAGTGCCAACTGAGCCCTGGTGCATATTTGCACACAAGAACAGGTAAAAGTGGTTTGATCCATACTAAAGTTAGCAATCAAACCTGAATACTATCTCAAAATGGTGATAATTGCAAGTTACAAGAAATAATCTATTAACGCTGAATGACGTGAAGTGGAGGTTTATTCAATTAAGCATCACTGTGGTCATCATGAAGAACGAAAGAGGATGACCCTCATGAGCTAGAGTTTTACCTAATAGCTCTACTGTGATAGAAAACAGAAGGAACCTTCCCTGGAAGCTTTTAGCTCTACCTCAAGATAGGCCTACAAAAAATAAATAATCTGACCCATAGTTCAGTGAAAATCAAAGCATTTATTCCTAAAGATTACAATCTTGTTCAGATCATCACTTTACTCTAGACTAAACGTGTTGCAGAGTAAATTAGGAAAATACAAGGTTTTAAGTTTGCAAGTATTAGAGTAGCCTTAATTTTTCTTTACATATTCAGTTCAAGCTTGTTAAAAGTGCAAAATTTTCAAGATTTCAAACCCCACAGGTTAACAGATTTTTCTATACAGAATGTATTTTACAGTAAACACTTCAATAATGGTCCAAAGCAACAGTGTTCTCTGAAATAATTCATACAATATCGGAACAGGATGAATGAAAAATAGTTTATTCATAAGTTAAATTTAGAGCTGGAAAGATGACAAGAAATCAGAAGAAGTTTATGAAAAAGGGTACATATTCATAAAATCAATGCTAATCACATGTTTGAAAAGCACTCATCAAAGATAAATTACATCAATCGTATGTTTTTAAGGTATTTCCATAGGACTAGGATTAAAAAATAAACATTACATCAGTTTTTGCGATTCTGTAACTAAAACATTTTTTTTTAATAGAATGAGGAAAAATTCAGATTAAGAAAAAACTCTTAATAGCATCATGCTCTCCTTCGGTGAAATCTTTTTTTTCCCCATCAATCCTAATCTCTGTATGTCTTCATCTTCAACCACTTAAAACAAAAAAATAAAACAAGAACAATTGTTTTAAACCTATTTGATTCAGAATAATTTGCAGCAAAGTATTTATTTTGCTGGAATGAAATGTAGTACAATATTGGT